AATAAAATATACATAGCAATGGTGACTTGAAATTATGTACAGCAAATAAATCCATAGCATTATGATGAATTGTGCAAGGATGTTTGAAAGGATGCTCAGTAGTGTGATCATAGTCCATTAAACTGGTACATGGTCATAATTAGACTTTGCAAGTTTCTCAAAGAAATTATGTGCGCATGCAAGGATATAATCATGAGCAGGAAGTATGTCTAGATCATGATGTAAATTGTGATTTCAGATAAACCACGGTGCATTCATAATCATTCTTAGAAGTTTATTTTAGAAAACATAATTCCTGACAGTAAGATTTGGGAGCTGTAAGACTTGCTTCTTGAATTTTAGCTGATCATTTAGGATTACACCCAGATACTTTGTAAACTTTATGACAAGGAGCATTTGATTTCAAATTCGTAAATTTAAATTGATGGGTAGTTTTTCTTGCATCTTCTGAATAATATAATAACTACATTTACTTGCATTTAATTAAAATTTTCATAAATTGCATCAGTATGAAATTATATTTAGACGTAGTTTTAAATTTTCTACAGTGGTATTTGGCTTGATCGATTTGATGACAAATACTGTATCATCAACATATTTTGCAATCTTTCTGTTGAGAGGTTCTGGCATATCACTGATGTATATATTAAAAAGTGTGGCTCCTAATATTGACTTTTGTGGAACTCCATTGTATACGATTTTCCTCCTCAATAGTGTTGTGGCATAGTATTTGCATTCTAGCATTTTAATACAGTATCCATGTTTGCTGCACTGCACCCGTGCATACTCGGTATAGCACAAGTATAAAGACTTGAACTTTTCCCCGAGAGACTCACTTGTACTTCACTGTTTCCTGCTTGTTCATGGACGACATTTGATGTCGGCTTATCATCATATATTTAATTTCATATTTTAATTTTAAATAAATTTTATGGTTAATCTTCGGCTTTCCTTTTAACCCTCTAAGCGGCAAGGCCATATATATACAGCTTAGAATATTTTTTGTGATATCTGTAAGAACGTATATATACGTGCATATATGTCAAAGAAATTAAGGAAATATATCAAAAGAAAACAATTCCAAATATGAAATACCAGGAGAGTTTTTACATTAAAATCAAAAAAAAAATAATTTGTTCTCATAGCAGTTTTGGGAAATTTGTGCTTTCTTAGCGAAAACCCTGGCCGCTCAGAGGGTTAATGAACGTTCTCACAAGTTTGGAGTATTGTGGTGTAAACTATCGCCACGTTTGGTGAGCAAAAAAGAATGCTGCAGTTATAGGAGTGAGTGCTCAAAGAAGCTGAATATTGAGATTCCATGGCAGTTGTATCTGTGCAAATGATTCTGTTGTGGAGCTACAAATCAGGAATATTTCAGTGAAAGTATTTATTATTTAGTGTGTCAATGCTGATATTGGATAATTTTTTCCCAGGTTATTATGTGTTTGAGAGTGCAGGTAGTCTGGTTCATGGGAGTTGATTTTCTTCCATATTGATGTGTATTGTATTCTTTTATGTTGTGAATATTTTATATTTTTGTTTATGCATTTTAATCCAGTGTGTATTCCTAATAAATATGGGTGTATGATAGGATTTCTATCGTTTTACGTTATGTTTTGGTATTAAAATTCGTAATACTTAATTGTAGGAAGTTGGTTATGTTGTGTAATGAAAATTCTGCTGATGACATTGTAGCTGAAAGTGCAGAGACTACACACTTGTTGCATGTTTTGGTAAAATTACCACATTTTTTTAAAACAAGCCCTGCCTTATGGTTTGTTAGTTCAGAATTACAGTTTTCCCTTTCCAACATAACTCCAACTAACTAAACAAAATTTTAAAATGTTGTTGCTGCTGTAGACTCTATATACTTAATTCTGTAGGCAATATTATTTTAAGACCTCCCACTACTGGGAAATGTCCTAAAACAAAGATTGATTTCTGTGCATCCCAAGAATAAAACATTGGAAATTTGTACCTGTTGTAAGGGTTAGAGCTTGGCGACCAATGTCCTTCTCAATTATTGACTGTGGTCAATTATTGGCGCATTGTGGCGGGTGATATCGTAGGTGAACCCTTGCTAAAATCTTTGTGGCTTCTTAAAAGTACACAATCTATTTTAGCTGGTTTTGGTGAAGGTGATTTGAGTAAATTATGGTTGCTGATAAGATTACTGAGCTTGCATCTCATTGTTATGTGAATACAGTTGTTGTGACCACTGAGCTAAGTGAATCTGCTACTCAATTGGAACTCCAGGTAGCACAAATGACTAATACTTAATAATAACTTACTTAATAAAGAAACTTAATAATTTTTATGTCATTGTCTAATTAATGCATTTTTTCTAACCTTAATTGTCTAATAGCATACCTGCCAACTTTTACGAATTTATCGTAATTTTTACGAAAATGCATTTGTCTTTACGATTTTACGATCGTAATCCATTTTTTATGATTTTTTTTTTCTTTTTCAAGTGCTTTTAGTGATTTTTGTCGAAATTTTAGAATTTTTCGCCAATTGCATCGTGTTTTACCACCAACTGCCGACTACATCGAATCCAGAAACCTGCGGTTTCTCCCAACTCGCCGCTTAATCAGCCAATCCAATGCGCTGAACTTATTTCTCCCACTCTTTTCTGTGTGGGCGCCAGATTATTTTTTTCGCGTTCGCTTCAGCAGCAAGGGAATTACTCAGCGAGCATGGATTGTCGCATTCTGTTTTTTTGTTTGTTTGTTTGCACGTGCTAGGAATTTTCTTAATACGTCATTGTTACGAAATGAGTTAAAAAAAACCGTACTCTCAATATTTTCGGCCTGCCTACAAAGCCGAATTTCCAACAATTAAAGAATCCTTCAAAGGAAATAGCTATGCATTTTGCAACGTGTGCGTGTGTGACTTCATAATAAGTCACGGTGGAAGAAGCGACATTGTGAAGCATGAAGTTAATGCTTTGGCTTCGACAATGTCAAAGAAAGTGGATGATTTTTTTTCGAATTCGGATGCCGATGTCATTTTGGCAGAGTGTTTGTTTACTGCATTCCTCATCGAACACAACGTGCCGCTAGGCGCTGCCGATCATGCTGGTCAACTTTTCAGACGGATGTTTCCCAACTCCAAGATTGCTCAGAAATATGCTTGTGCTCGCATGAAAACATCTTCTATTGTGAACGAAATTGCTTGCGATGCACAAAGTAAAACGCTAGCTGCACTCCAGAATTCAGCATTTTCGGTGTCAATCGATGGCAGCAACGACAGCGATTGGAAGCTTTACCCCATCGTTGTCACATATTTCTGTGATGTTTCTAATGAAATGAAAACTCATCTTTTGCGTTTTCCATTGTTAAATGCAGACGCTACGGGGGAAAATATTGCCTCCTTGGTAATTAATGAGTTGAAACAACTTAGCATCCCAATATCAAACTGCATTTCATTTGGTGCAGATAATGCTCATGCCATGGTGGGTGACAAAAAGGGTGTAGCTTCTTTCCTCAAAAAAGAACAAAATGAATTAATTGTTATTGGAGGCCCATGTCACTCAATTAATTTGGCAGCAGAAAAAGCTGCAGCTGCTTTAGCATTAAATATTGACCAGCTTCTGATTGATGTGTTTTTCTATCTGGAAAAAGTGTAAAAAGGGAAGAAGACCTAAAGAATTTCCAAGAACTGTGCTCTGGTGAAACGAGAAAAATTCTGAAACATGTATGCACGAGATGGTTATCCTTAGGCAGAGCGCTAGGAAAGTTTATTGAAGAGTGGGATGCATTGCTAAAATATTTCCACGAAGAGACCAAAACGAAACCACAGATCCCATCAAATTTGTCGGCATATAAGTTTCCGAAAACCAACTTTGCTTCTAATCAAAATGCTTTAAAAGGGAAAAGCCAACACACAGAATCCAAACCCTTTAAAAAAGAAAATGCTTAGAAGACTCCTCAAAGGTCAACTTTGTTAAAGACTAGAAACTAGAAAACATTTTAATTGCTAAATGTTATGAGGAAACTAATTGTTATGACAGGAAATTTTCCAAAGAATTTTTGGCTAAAGTCAAAAAATGCACTCTAAATTCATTGCAATAATTTTTTTGTGTGTAACAATAAGGTTCTTGTTTTATGTTTCCTAATAAATTTTTTAGTTACTACTTAATTGAGATTTACTAATGTAAGTACAATTTTCTTTTTTCTATTTGTATAAATTGTTATTTTTTAAATATCAAAGCATGATATTAATTCTTCGTGTTCTTCTGAATTTTTATCTTTAGAGGTTGGCAGGTATGCTAATAGGAAAATTTTTTTTCTCCAGCTTTACCTTTTCACTACCGGCTAACATGAAATGATATTAATGCCCTGCATAATGTTTCCTAAGATTAGATAATCCTTTTAAAAATTGTTTTAGTTGCTGAACCGCAGGAATTTTTTAATTAAATGTACTCATTTTCATTTACCTTATGTATATATGTATTGGTGTGTGCATACAGATACTTAATGGACTGAATACAGACAGAACAGATGATAGCTTTATAAAATTTATTCCCCCCTCAAAAAAAAAAAAAAAAAAAAAAAAAAAAAAAAAACCACTTTGGAACTTTCCACAAAAACACTTGGCTCTAGTGTAGAATTGGGTGCCCCTTTGATTAACGACAATTTTAAAAAAAAATTTTGCCGATGAAACCTCACTTCTGGTTACCATAATAGTTATCGAAATTTTGTCAAGTTTTGTAATTTCTTGCCCAATTCGGCGACAAAAATTAGTTGTCAAAAGTATTGCCAACTTGGCAATATCTTGTCAATTTAGTGAAATAGCCATTTACCTCAATGTTAAATTTGTCCATGCAATCTTATTTTTCTGACAGAGCTTTGACACTTCAGACTTTTATGTTACATTATGTGAAGCATACTACAGTTTTGCATATAATTTCAATAAAAATTATTTATATAAATGAAAAGTTCATTACAATATAGAATTGTGACAATTAAGTTTCAAACTATTGTGATATTTCTTAGGTGGAAATCCCTGTCACAACATCAAAACTTTCAACCATTGATGAGTTGTCAGGAAAACTAGGTAATAAAGCATTTTTGTTTTCTTATATTTTAAGAAGTGTTGTGAAATGCAAGTGCAGTGAAGTTTTTGAGTAAAAAATGCATTTGTTTTTGTGAAAAATGAATCTGTACAGACTGAAGTTAATGTGTTTTAAATGCTAACCGATCCATTATAGCATAGCTATTGACAATCCCCCCCCCCTGTTATAAAATAATTTAGTGTAGTGCATCTACTTTTTAGGGATAAATTTATTTTCTGTAAGAATATGCATTTTTGAGGAATTAAAACCCTTTCTATTTAAAAAGTTAACCATATGCAGTTTTATGTGAAAAATTAAATGGTTTGAGTCATACATGTTTAAGAAAATCAAAATATGTGAATAACTGAGCTTGCATAGAGTTCGTCTTAATGTGTTAATCAAGCTTGATGATGAAATACAAATCTCATTTCTGTTTCCGTAATTTTAGATATTTTATTTATTTATTTATTATTATTATTTTTTATTTTTAGAACTTTCTAGAATGTATCCTACTCCTCCGTCATTAGAGCAAAATGCAGTGCCTTCACCATTTGGCATATTCACTGGAGCAGATAATACTTCTGTAGAGAATGATGTTGTAAAAGAGGACGAACCTGTAAATAATTTAAGCTTTCTAAAGGAGGTTTGTTTCATTACATATTTTTATTTGCATATAATGCAGTTTTTTTCCCCCCATTTGTCAAGTTTAGGGAGATTTTAAATCTGTTTCATTAAATTTTCCTTTCTGCATTACATGGTGTATTGAATATTTATATAACTTTCTGTTAGTTACAAAATGTATAAAGAATAGTTTTGAGTTTATATATATGTGTGTTATTTTAATTACTTAATAAGAAGTTTGGACTGATGGAATGTGAAGATAATGAGTATTCAGTTATTCTCATTTTTAAAGTAGTAAACATTTTTAACACTATTATTCTGTAATTTATGTTAGAAAGTCCCATATTATCCATTCTATTAGAATAGCTTTGTTAATAAGACAAGCAAACTTGACATAAAAATCCATGTATTAAATCTGTCTGTATTTTGGACCATGTAAGTACCTCAAAATATTAGGACGTTGTTATTAATTCATTATGGATATTTTCATAGCTTAATTTTTTTTAGTATTATTAGATCCAGTGATAAAATTTGGATTTATTTTTATAAAACAGGTTTTAATTATTTATTTATTTTCATAATTTTGTACGAATTCCTTTGTTTTCCTCATTATAAATATATTGAATCTATTTCGTTTGTTTATTTATTTTCTCTGCTAATTATATGTTTCTACTACTAATGTAATTTTTAACAATATAAATATAGCATATTTTATGTTATAAAATAGATAATGCTAGGTATATTATGAAAATAAATAAATAATATTATATTCTTTAAAATCATGAAAACTGTACAATTTTCCCATTTATCATTTACACATCTTGCTGCTTCCTCCTTCAGTTCTTTTTTTCCTTTCCTATGCATGAAATACTCTTAGTTATTATTCTTTATTAAATTTGACATGATAATAAGGGGCATGTTAAGTCAAGTTCTTTATTAACTTTATAGTCTTTCTGCAATTTAAAGATTCTTTTAAAGAAACTTCCAGTGAGAAATGAAGGTAATGAAACCTGAAATGTGAGTGTATTTCTTCTCGAAGAGTGTGGCAATATTTATTCTCTGAACTAGCTGTGGCTGAACATTTCAAAAGTATTTTATTATCATCTGTGTGGCTCTTTACATTAGTATTATTATTGATTTTTTTAAGTGTTAATTTAATATTTTTTATACAGATTCTTAACTTTTACTAAAAAATTTTTAAACCTATAATATAATAGGTTCTAGGAAACTTAATTTTCAAGCTAGCCTTGAAATTTTGATTAAAATGATCAATTTTTTTTGCATTCGAAGAAAATGTTATTGGGAATCATTTGGATCCAGAATTTCAGTGTTATACATCTCTGAGTAAAAATTTTTAGAAAGAGAATGCCTAACTTATTATGTTGGAAATATAAATTTAAACTATTAAACGTACAGAAGTTAAAAGGGGATAGATTTGAGGGGAGAAGAGAGGAAGAAAAGCATAATTAGATGAAATATTTTTAGTATTAGGTATTTTATTTTTAGTAGTTTAAAACTTTTGTTGTACCAGTTATGATATGACTGCAAAACACTACTAAAAATAGTAAAGCATTTATCTTACAAACAGGGAAAAGATCAAACATTTCTTTTAGAGACAAAACCAGAAGTTGTAGCATTATTCTGAGCTAGATTGACAAAATATATTTTATCAAAAAACATTTCATTTAGTTATTCTAAAGTAGTTTTAAATTTACTTTCTTTTGAAAATGTATATTATTATTTTAGTCATATTTATACTCTTATTAAATTGCTTGTATTTTAACATGTTCTATACAAATTACATATATAATTTTCGGTACTTGCAGACTTTACTTTCGAATGTTTTTGACACCAGTAATGGAATAAGCATGATGTCACACTATATTCATAATACCTTTGGCTTGGCCTTATGTAATTCCAATTAATCCAGTTCAGTGTTTACAAAGAAGGCTCACAAATTCATTGTTATTTCATAGTTTTCCTTTTGATTTGTCAAAAAAATAATTACAATTTGGAACCTGCCTTCTGTTGGGCAGTATGCAGTGAAGTATTATCAAATCTACAGAATTCTAGCATCAAAAATGTAAGTTAATGGCATAATAAGGGATTTTATTTAAAAACACATAAATAATGGCAGTACATGTTATTTCCACTGAAATGATTGTTCAGATTCATGCTTATTTTATATGCTATATTTGTAGCTTGTGTATCTGTTGATCAACTAACTAAATAAAGAGCAGTCTGCTTTTTCAAACTTCTCCTGGTATCAGCTCAAGTTTGGTGAGATCTCCACAACCATTAATGGGTAATGGGAAAAAATGTAAATACCTAAATTTCAGTCAAAACATTTATTTGAAAAGAAAGGGGAGATCTCTTATTTCGTATATCTGATTGTGATTTGTATTTTAAGTAAAAGTTTGTATATGGAATTTAACTGTTTTATTTTTTCTTGTAGGATGTTTGTGTGTGGAAACCTCCCACTATAAGTATGTTTGTAGAATCACCCAAATATGCTCCTTTAAACAAGCTTTCATTTCGCAATTGCACCTCATCATTAGAATTAATATATCAGTCATCTTCAGTTTCAAGCAGTAGGATAAATCATAAGATATGTGAAGATCCTGTACTGTATGAAAAACAAATCTTCAGGTTAGTTTGGTGTGCAGACTGTTAACACTGTCTTATATTTTGTCTGTTTCAAATTTCATTTCTTTTGATGGACTGCAGTATATAAGTATGTAAATGTGTAAGTAAATATGACAGTGATATAAAGTGTACCATACAGATGCAGTTCAGTTGAATTAGCAAATAGCTTCTATCTCCCTAACATGTTTTCGATACACTTTTGCACTCATTGAATGATATCTTTATGACATGGATGAATATAATCATGTTGATAATTCACTGAAAAAGTTTTGTAAATAGCTCTTTTGGTTTAACAGTATAAACATGGGGGGGGGGGTCCTTTGTCATCTTCTATAGCCAAAGTTGCAGGGCATGATATTAAGAGACAGTGAATTAAAAAAATGAAAGCATGTTGGTAATTTAAAAAATATATGTGTTAACGAGATTTCACTTCCAATAATAACTTGTGAAGCATATGAAACAGATTCTCTTTTAATTGTCATTTTGGTGACATCTTTGTGGACTGTCCTGCATAAGGATTACTCCTTACTTCCTTACCGAATTTGCCCACGTTTCCAGCAGCTATTTCAAAACTTTTCATTAATTGAAATTTTGTTGTATTTGTGTACTTTATTTAATTAATGTAAATATTAATTTAAATGTCCTTTTTTTAAGAACTCTGGTGTTACTAATTATCATTTATAAAATGTATTTAGATATGCTGTGCATATTTTTAAATTTATTTTAATAAGGATTGTTTTAGCTGAAAAACTATCTGGCTGAAAATGTCAAAATTAATTTTTTAGTAATTCATCACTAATAATATGAAAAAAAGAGGTAGCTGCTAAGAATATAATGTTTCAATTAGTTAAGAAATATGAAATTTTGTGATGCTATGGCATGCAACGTTTTACTAATGCCCAATAACAGAGTAATCAAAACTGTGTTGTTATTAATATTGTGAAACATTTTTTTCTTAATTTTTATAAGAATATTAGATACTTTCTGATTATCCATAGCCTCCCTAAAAACACACAGAAAAAGTATTAATTACTTGCCAATATGTATTTATGTAGAAACCCAAAGAGCATATATATATGAACCTAGGTATGTATGTAAGCTCCCAGACAGCTTTCCCACTTTACTGAACATTTCTGCAGGTTATGATCCCGCCTATGGGAACTTAGCCAATGTAGGATAGTGATAAGCTACATGCTGCAGTTTCCATCATCTAGTGAAATCTTTGACTTTCTGCATGCAAAGAATTCTTTTTTTTCTTCTCATTTTAGACTTTTTGGTGTTGTGTGCAATTCTAAGCCTGTGTAATTCTCTGATTTTTTTAAGTGAAAAAGACACGAAGTGTGTGTATCTTGCGTAGTAAAAGAAAAATTTTAAAATATGGACAATACTGGGTGCATTGTTCAAACAGACGTAAATGTACCCAAAGAAATATTTCTTTGCAGAGTTGGGGCCCATCAGCAGCCGAGCGGTAAAGTCGCTGAACACTGGTAGTTCGGTCCAAAGTTCAAATTCTGCGAACGGGTTGCCTGCATGGCCGTTTGCGTGCTTTTCCCCATGTGTGACGTGTATACGAGCCAGTTTCGCTTAGAAAGTCCTCCCTTTTAGGCATCTCTCCCTTTAGGCAGATAGCCCTCGTATGCTTTGCCATAATTGAATTAATCCAATCCAATCCTTTTCAGAGTTGGCAGTTTGTGAATGCTCTTCAAAGTCGCAATCAAGTTCATGATTTTAGTAAGGGTGTGGATAACCAAAAAGTACCAAACATTTATATTTTATTCAGCCATGTTCTTTGGTTGTATGAAAATTGTATTTATTCTTCATGATATAACTGAATTTATATGCATTTGTTTAGAGGAAATTTATTGTGTGGATTTGCATAGTAGGTGATATTTTGTTGTAAATATTTCTAAATTTTTAATTCTATACTTAATTGTTTTGTATATATGCCTGTGTATGAATTTCTTGTATTAACAACAAGGAATATTAATACAGTCAAAAGTCTTTAATCCGGACGTCCATTATCCGGAATGATCTATAATCCAGACTTCAAAGCTACAAACTTTCTGTGCATGCGTCAACGCATAATGCGTTAACGCATGCGCTGAATCCCTTTATGCATACGCATAATATGTTTACGCATGCATGTTTATTGTATAACGGACGGTATAAGCTAAGCTAAAATTATCTAATTAGCTAGTTTAGTTAATGTTGCAGATTGCGTTGTTCCTTAATCTTCTAATTGGATCCGGCTTATTATTTTTTGCAGACTGTTAGCAATTTTAAAAAAGTGAGCTTGAACTTTCAATTATGTCAAAAAGAAGATTCTGGAGCTGCCGAAGGATCTACAAAGCGAAAGCATGTTTCGATGTCCATCAAACAAAAAGTGGAATTGCTGCAAAAAATGTATGAAGGCATATACTTTGTTTTTCTAACCATTCCGAAATCTGTTTATCAATTTCACACTGCTCTGTGGGGAGGTGGGAAACGTCACAGCGCGCAATGAGTTGGAAGCTGATCTGTCAGCACTATCCTTATCTTCAGGGCAGATGTTTTTATTTTATTCGGCTTATAATTCCTTACTAAATGTTGTGTTTCATCTCGATGTACTCCGATATGATTTAAATCAAATTCCTCGTCATTGTAAATATTATGAATACACATCAAATAGTTTTCTGGTTGCAATTTTCTAATTTCGACTATACGTAATGTATGCTTTACGCATGCGCGTGTTGAAAGAAATGTTTAATAAAGTAAAACAAATAAATATTAAGCTTTTTTTTTTTTTTTTTTTTTTTTTTTTGTAAATTTTGATACCCTTTAGATCATAATTGCTCTTTATTTCATAAATATTACGGTTTCATATGTTTAATTTTATAATTTCTGCATGCCATCTTACCAGATTTAAACTGATGATCTATAATCCGGAATCTCCGAAGTCCCGACAAGTCCGAATTAAAGACTTTTGACTGTACATGTTTTTTATTTATTAAATAACTGAATTATTTTTATTTTCATACAGCCAGTCATCACAATATGCCATTTTTGATGATGAACAGTTGTGCCATAATTTTTATCCTGCTAGTTGTGAAGCTGTGTCACCTGCTTCAAGTCATCCTTCATATCCAAACAGTTTCAGTTTTGATGCCAGTGTTTCTGAACTTTCTTTAGAAGTTGACTCATTAATTGTAAATCTTCTGCTTTCTGATTCAATGCTCAATCTTTTCAAAGATCACAATTTTGCTTGCTGCTGTATATGTGTGTGCAATATGAACATTAAAGGTGCAGATGCTAATGTAATTCTTCCTAACACTTTGATTCCAACAGGAAATGATGAACCTCAATATAAATGTACTTGTGGTTTTAGTGCGGTAGTGCACCGCCATCGAAGTTTTAAAGCAGGCCTTTTTTATGAAGATGAATTTGAAATTTCAGGGTATAACTGTGATAATTCTGCTAATTTAAGCCAGCCAACAGGAGAGCTCATAATCAAAAGACAGACAAATGATTCTGACAAGGGGCCATTACTCAATTCTGACCATATACCCGCTTTTCTTCTTGATATGTTAAAAATTCAGTGTAAAAATATCAGTTCTGCATTTAGTTTATTTTACAAATCAGGCATATTATGCACAGGAGAATCGGAATCCACTGTAAATGAGATAGAAATATTTGATGGATGTGAAGTGTGCTTCATAGCCTTGGAACAAGCAAGAAATATTACTGATAATTCAATGCCTACTAAATTAGATGAAAGTCTGAAATTCACATGCCTTCACAAGTGGCCTTATATATCTAGTAAGTAAGAATTATTGTGTGATTTTATTCACTTCATTTTATAAATATATAATTTTTTAGTATCTTGTGATTTTAAAACCGTTATTGGTTATCCATATTATCTTAGATTTATAAAGCTATGATTAACATAAATTAGGAAAATGTAATGTATGATATTTCCTTATTAATCAATCATTTTTAACTTTTCAAGAAATTTATAAGTTTTTTTTTTTTTTTTTTTTTTTTTTTTTTTTTTTTTTTTTTTTTTTTATAGTAAAATCAAGTTTTTAGCACAAACTTAATTTTTAACCCCAATCATCCTTTGCCCAGTTTTTTTTTTAGTGAATCTTATCTAAAAACAGGTTAGATGAAAGCCTGAAAAGTGTATTGACTGATATTTTAAGCCAAATACTCAGCTAAAATATATCTGTATAACTTTGCTATTTTAAGAATTTTAACATAAAGAGTGTCACTGACTGATTATCCAGAACTGAAGTTGTAAATCTGACTCCATTTAAGTTTAATTTTTTTTGGGGGGGGGCTCTTTTCTGCTGATAAGATATTGGTTGCTTCTTGTGCTGGATTTTGGTAAATGCTGTTATTTACAAGACAGTTAAACTGTGATTGGATATGATTTTCATTCCATCTGATGAATGTCAAACCAACAAATGCATAACTTCTAGATTTCTAAAAATTAGTTATTTCTCTGTTAAGGGAGCACTACGTAGCACCAAACATAGGTAGTCTTCTGTTATCAGGACCAGATTCAGAAGTGTATGTAAGTATGCATGTTTGTTTGTATGCATGTGCATATATATGTGTACACACATATACAGTATATACACGCATATACAGATGTATGTACATATATGTATGCAAGTACACATACATCCATATTTAATGCATATACTATATATATTACATTTCTGAATCCAGGCCCGATAACAGAAGAGTAATAACATAAACATTGATATGAAATCTAACTAGATGACGGAAGCCCTAACTATGACTCTTTTTTTTTTTTTTTTTTTTTTTTAAACACAGAATGAATGAAAAAAGTAAAAACAGATAGAAAAGTACAAAATAGATTTTGCCAGATCAATTTCTGATTATACAGGTAGCATAAAACTTTAACACCTTTAACAAACATTTTCTTTTTTCTTTTTATGCAATCACTGCCATGTGAATTCTGTGAAGTAGAAATCTAGGTGTCGCTGACCTGTAGTACACTAATGTTTATTTCGCCATTTTTGCATATAGCATCTTGTATCAGGATCAGTAACATTGTACGTGTGGTTAACCTGCAGTTGTTCATATTTAGTAACTGTCATTTTATCTGTGACTGAAAATTTAGGGGAAAAAATTCCATGTATAATATACTGGAGAGATTAATTGTGTAGACAGAATGATGAAACTTAGAAGCAAAGGAAGCTGTGGATACTGTGGCAAAATGGCCTCAGAAAATAAAAATCCACGGTTAATCTTCGGATTATGGTAACATGGCGATTTTTTGGCAAAAATTTGGCCACCAACCCTGCTACAGCAACCTGCTAGTTTGTTTTTGGATGCTATTTCGTTTCCACGAAGTAAAGGCATTTTTTTTTCCAACAATCTGCTAGTCGAATTACGCTTATGTTAGAACTTTTATGGAACAAAAGTGCTTAATCATGATGAAGATTAGGTGCGAAATTGGGAGAAAGTGCAGAATCGCACACTGCTTGGCACGTTTTTAAGAATTGCACATACACGGTATCATCCATGTGTACACATCGACCTATTTTCACTTAAAAAAACATCCCAGAAGTGCACAAAAATGGCGTGCACACTCTTGACTTTATCCATGTACACTGCTAAAGTCCTAGCTAGTAACCTTTATCGCCTTACAAAATGTCGCCAAACTACCTGTTACCATATTCCAAAGATTAGCCAAATCCACTTCGCCGGGTTTAAAATACTACAGTGTTTATTTTTACGCAATGAATACGAAAACGTAATTAGAACAGACTCGCATCTTTATTGACATTTTTAAACTCAACTGCCAAATAGAATATTCTAAGTAAATAATATAATTTCTGTTGCCATTCCAAAAAAGTAAATACAAAACGATATAACAGCATTCATTTCTAACAGATACTGCATAATTTGTTGCTAGACAACTAATTCTTGCGATACATATTCTAATTCACGCATCATCATGGGCACATTATGCACCCCACAATTCTGGAAGCTTAGGACATTTTAAGACAATGGATGATGCAGAGAAATGGGGCGATATGTTGGTTTGAAGCAAGGAAGCTGAAAAATGTATAAAAAGTTTTGGTTTCAATAGAAACCTTATTCAGTGATTGGATAAGGATGTCTACATTGCAGCACTATGTGAGATCTTAAGATGCAAATTAATTTTAAAATAGATTGATATGTTATAAATAGTTACTAATTTTGGGGCAGAAAGTTGAAGTACCCTGCTTAAAAGGACTAAAAGGGACCATTGCCAATTAAAATTAGAAGTTTGCTGTACATGCTTTTTGTGTAGTGTATGTATATAGATACATGTAAAGAAGGTTGGTGTCACATCTGAATTTTCTGATAATTGTCAAACTCGAACTAAATGATAGAATAAATAAAAATAGAAATAAAAGTTTATGTGTTTATTTAGTAACTAATAATCCACTTTAAAATAATTAGACAACGCAGCATTCTTCATCATTTTAAATCTAGTAATATCGCACTTAGATGTGGCTGCTCTGAGACTTTGCTTATAAAAGCAGATAGAAAGATGCTAACCTTCCTATCCACAGTGCCAAAGCAGCTAGTGCTGTAACAACTGTGTGTCAGAATTTAGGGGTAAAGAAAATGCTAGAATTTAGAAGAGTACTAAGCAGCAAAAATTAGGGATGGCTGAATTGTTAGAATTTAGGAGCAGTAAAAATACAGTCAAAAGTCGTTAATTCGGACACCCATAATCCGGAATGATCTATAATCCGGACCTCAAAGCTAAAATCTTTCTGCGCATGCGCCGCGTTGACGCATGCGCATAGGCGTTTTACGCGGGCGCGCAAGACATTTACAACTGCGCATATGTGTCTGCGCAAGCGCAGAATACGTTTTCGCGTGCGCGTTTAATGTAAAACGAACGGTATAAGCTAAAATTATCTAATTATCTATTTCAGTTAATGTTGATGATTGCGTTGTTCCTTAACCTTCGAATTGGATCCGGCTTATTATTTTTTGCAGACTGTAAGAGCAATTTTATAAAAGTAAGCTTAAACTTTCGATGATGTCAAATAGAATTTAGGATGCTGGAGCTCCCAAAGGATCTAGAAAACGAAAGTATGCTTCAATGTCCATATAAAAAAAAAAAAAAAAAAAAAAAAAAAAAAAACGAATTGCTATAAAAAATGGTTAAAGGCATATACTTTGTTTATCTAAACCTTCCGACATCTGTTTATCAATTTCACGCAGCTCTGCGCGGGGGGGGGGGAGAGAGACTTCGCGGCGCGCTATGAACTGGAAGTTGATCTGTCAGCACTATCGTTATCTTTAGGGCAGATGTTTTTATTTTATTCGGCTTATAATTCCTTATTAAATGTAGTATTAATCTCGATGTACTCCGTCTTTGATATGATTTAAATCAAATTTCTCGTCATTATAAATATCACGAATACAAATCAAATAGTTTTCTGGTTGCAATTTTCTAATTCCGGCTATGCGTAGGGTATGCTTTACGAATGCGCGCGTAGAAAGAAATGTTAATAAAGTAAACAAATAAATATTAAGCTTCTTTTTTTGTAAATTTTGATACCCTTTAGATCATAATTGCTCATTATTTTATAAATTACAAGTTTCATATTTTTAATTTTATAATTTCTGCATGCTATCTTACCAGATTTAAACTTATTATCTATAATCCGGAAAAATCGATAATCCGGAATCGTCGAAGTCCCGACGAGTCCGGATTAAAGACTTTTGACTGTATTTAGAATTTAGGACACTAGCATGCAGAGATTGCACACCCACCCTGGCCGCTTCAAAACCACAAGGGTGAATATGTGAACCTGACTAACATCAGTACAACATTAATCAATGCACTGTTATTAGTATGGTGCAACTCCCTATCCAGCTGGTGTTTAAAAGTGACATGCAGAAATAACCAGTCATATTTAGGGCACACCTGCCTTCTTCATTCCTAGAATTAGTAGGGGGATTTTTCATTATTTTATTTCATTTTGTTTATTTATTTACTTTTGCTGATGGTCCAGAGGTCTGGATATTAGATCATTGTAGATATTGCTATATGGATTTCAGACTTTATTGAGAAACAAAACCTAATCATTGAGATGCAAATTTTCTGAATTGTATCTTTCTGCCTACTCCTATAGTACATGCATTTTTCTGCAGGCAGTCTGTGTCTTGTTGAAATCTTATTCCTAAAGGTGGATAGGAAGAGCAAGTAAAATTTATAAAATCTGCAGTGCAATAATGATTATCCATAATTAATTAATTGAAGAGCTGATTTGATATGAAAATTAGATTCATTCCCAATGTGTGAGGATTAAATACCATCTTTGCAGCAAGTGGCAATGGATCAAGTATATGAATTAGAACTTGTTTTCTTTTGAAAACAGATAAAATAAAATGTAAGGCTTAACACTTTGACGCGTGAATTATTATTTTTATAATTTTTTAACTAAAAACTGTAGAAATTGAATATTATAATCGTAGAGACAAAAAATATATGAATTTAAAAAATCTACTCTTGCCCATTGTTCTGTGGGTGGTGGTCACACTGTGAAACCACCGCATGTCTAGGACTTTGAAACTTACTGAGGTAGTAGGGGGAAAAACTTATTTTTCTCCGTGCATGTTTCCAATAAATGATGAGATTTACGAATTTTTAAAAAGTGTATGTGAGAATTGCATTATATATATATTTTTTACATTATTTTACAAAGTAAATTGCTAGAAAAAATTAAAAAATAAACATTTATGTAATTTTCTGTAGCAGTGAAAATATAAGTACAGTCAAATACTGAAAATCCACCGTCCTGAAATCCGCCAACTCCTGAAATTCGCGTTGCCTCTCAAAATATAAACATTCAGTTTATAGGTTCCAGAAACCGCAACGTTGAGTATGAAATATTGAAGAAAAAATACTTACCAAATAATGATGTCATAATTACCAAATAATAGTGAGTCATTATGGAAATACCAAATTATTGCCATCATGATAAAAGTTTTTTCCCCTCTAATTTGCATCAAGGTAAGAAAGCAGACGATTTACTCAACTCTTCTTTCAAGTTCACGATTCACGTTGTTGTATTTTCTGAGCTTTGTTATTTCATGAGATTATTTAGTGCTGCCTTTTTTTTTTTATCCAGATATTTTGTGGATAAATTAAGAATATTTTTAATTTCAGCCCTTTTTAATACAATAACAGATAAGAAAAGCATTCATGATTTTACTGCTTGCAACATTGAAAAATGTAAATACATTGCATTGACGGTAATGCAAAAAGTGCTAGAATTTTTTGTTTTGTCTGAATTCTGCAAAAGGTGGAGACAGGTGCATTTTATAGCAGAATCGCATGGAGTTGCGATACGATTGTTTATGATATATGGAAAAATAAAGAAACGCTGTTGAAATTTTACAGCAACAGTGATTCTGACACCGGAATCCGAAACCAGAAACCTTTGCTGGAAAACCTCGATGCTGTGTATATGTAATACAATGAATATTATAATCAATTTATATATGTAATAATAATTCAATGCATATAATAAGTGATTGCAATAATATATATGATAATTTAATTAAATGTATCTAATACACCTTATTTATGTTGAACTTTTAGTCTGAATATTATGATTTATCTTTTCTGTCTTGAAATCCTAAAAGCCGCACAACCTCTGGTCCCAAGTTTTGCGGATTTCTGAACTTCTACTGTACCTACATAGTAAGGATGTTTGGCTAAATGGATAAAAAAAGGACAGTGGTTTTTTGTTTTCTTTAAATTTCAAAGAACATTTTTTTTTTTTTTTTTTTTGTGACACTGTTCAAGGGCATGTTTTGTCTTTTTGGGTTAAATGCATAGTTTACCCAAAAAACCACTGCACGTTTCGCACATGTATCTTCTATGAGGTTTCTTCCTTGTGCTACAAAATGCACACTGCCTAGATCTAAATTTCACTGGTATATGTCCAGCGTTATTTAGTTTCTTTTCATCTGGCACATGAAATTTGTGGGTTTTTATGTTAATGGGGGGGGGGCTTGGTCTTTTTGGCTTTGCTACGGATCATTCGTTTCCCATTCACACTTAATTTATTCGTATTTCATCCCAAATATTCAGAAAATAGTTTTAATTTAAATAAAACTTTAAGCAATTTTTATTTTTAATTATAGCAAAGTGTATTTACATTAAATTTAAACCACAGGAAATAATTTATAAAATCACAATACTAGCTTGGGGAGCAAGTGTGTTGAGATCAGAGAAAAGTATCTGGAAAAGAAAGACCTTTTTACTGGGCAGGTGCATGTATTGTTTAGTAATAAAATAACTCTGTGGTTTCAAAACCCCTTATCTATATCCGGGTAAAAATAAACATTCCTATTTGAGAAGCAAGCAAATGCGGTTGGGAAGAGCGGTTTCAAGGTGTGACCACCGAGCCTCTACAGCATTGTGACACAATGCTCTAGTGGGGCAGTGGTCGCGCCTTGAAACCACAAAGCAAATGCCATACACATAGAGGATTTTTTTTATATATGCAGTTTAATTATTGCTATTTTTTATTGTTTATGATAGAAATCATGATGTGCGATGAATAACTTTTGAAATTTAAAGTTTTTTATATTAATAAAAGGAAGTTATTTTGTCTCATTGAACGAATTTTAAAAGGCATCCGATTTGAAGTACTAAGACCTGGAACATGTATGATTCTGCAGTCATTTTGTGTTATTTAGAGGTAAAAGATCAGTAATAAATCGATTTTAACTCAAAAATTTCGGAAAGACAAGGAAAAAAGTTAGAAAATTGATGGTTTCAGGTCATGACCACAGTGCATGAAAGGTTTAAAAGAGGAGGATTTGGAGACAGTATTATAGTTCAAGATTATTAGAACTTGGTGAATGTAATATTAATTTAGATTTATATTATGTGATGATAACTGACATTGGCCTTGCATATATTTCCTTGTGATCTTCATTGAAAAGAATCTAAATGTATATATCTGAAAAGTACTGTTATTATATGTTTTTAATGAAAAACAAAACAATTTAAAGGCATCTGAATGTACCAGTTGTAATTTTAATATATAATAATGCAATACTATACTTATAATCTACTTAGATTTGGCACTTTAAGGTCATTTTACCCTGCCTGATATGCCTCATTGTCATGGTAACAACTGTGCTGGATTTTTGAGTCCCCTAAGTACTTGTTTCCTTCTTCATTTCTGTTTAACGCATTTTGCTGTGTGAAAAGCAAAAAATTAATAATGGGTGACTTAACTAAATTTCGTATGAGATGCAGAAATTAAGTGCTGTGCAGTGATGACAACCCATGTTATGATCACAAATAGAGAAAGGTTGGAAAGGTCTGCAAAATAATTTTTTTTGATAACTGACTGAAATAGTTAAATATGACCTACGTAATTACAAAAAGAATTGATATATTGGAAGCCTTTTCAGGTTTTGAGTAGGTTATTCTTTATTAGCACATTTATTCACCTTAATTAATTTTGATAATAAATTAGATTTTAATTTGAAAAAGTATCAATCTAATCTGAATTGGAAATTTTTCATAGAAAAGTAAGCAGTGTTTATATTGCTTTAGAAAGTACAGGAATGGTTTTATAAAGAAAGATGCAAAAGCATTTGATATTTAAAGTTTTGACTTTTTGGACAAACAAAAACCTGTAGATTACAAAGAAAGGTTAAAATTTGATGGTGTAGAATCATATATTAAACTGTTGAAAAATAATAAGTCTTTAAAATAAGAACAAAATTCAGGTATTTCCTTATTTTTTATTTTCTTACTGCATGAAATATTGTTTTTATGCTTGAAAAATAATTTTGAACTCCAGTATAAATCAGCGTATTATTTCTCCTGTGGTTTTTTATTTATTTATTTATTATTTATTATTTATTTTTTTTTAATTTTATTATTATTTATTTTTATTTATGTTAAATGATAGAGTCTTGTTAGAAAGTAAAATTTAATGGTAGATTTATTTTTAAAGAAATTTAAAACTATTTTCAGCTTAAAATTAAAAAAAAATACTTAATCAATAAACTTTTTTTAATTATGTAATTATCGAATGCTTTTTCTTTCATTTTCCCCTCTAGGTCCATTGCCATCTACAAATCAAGATCTTATGTTGCATTTAGACTCCTTAAAGCCTTTGTTGCAGGTTGCTATACATAGGAAAAATCCTCAGCGTCTTTGGGATATTACATATGTAGTTACTGGTCCACTTACATGGCGAGAATTTCATAGATTAGCTGCCAGAGGTGACTATTAATTTAAGATCTATATTTTGTATATTGTCTACATGGATGCTATTATTTTGATTTTATAAATATGCTTAATGTCGCCACACCATTTGCTAAGCTTTGAAACTGGTAAATCGAATTATCAATGCTCAGTGATCGTACTGCTTAGCCACTGATGGGCCGAAATAAAAGTAGAAGCTCCATAGGATCAAATTCTAGCAATACTTAATATAGGCTGTTGCAGATCTGCAATAAACCAAACGTAATTTTTGGAAAATTTTTAAGCTTTATGCATGGTGTAATAAACACAGAAATATGTTAAAACACATTTTAGTTAATAAATGATGATGCAGGACAGAAATTTTGGGTTGGTGCAAATAAAATGGAAACATAGCTTTCAGGCTGCAAACCTTTTTTCACTGAAATTGTGTGCTATGTTGCAACATCTTTATAAGTCAGAGCAACAGACTACAGGACTAAGACGGTCAGTAAGTGCAAGGCTATTGAATAGGACCTTGCTGCTGAACCCTTGAGAATGCACAATTGTGTATCATCTACTCTATAAATTGAAATTGGAATGTTTTGTAAAACATCAATGTTGCATGTAGCCCAGTTACGACTGATGAATGCAACATTAGCTGCTGGTATTTGAAATTTCATATTGGCAACATCATGCTTGAAATACAACCCACTAGCTTCTAGCCGATGCAGTTTTGAGATGAGCTTCTTAAAAATATCACCAAACCTGATCCATAGCAAAATATCTATACCATTGCAAAGAATCAGCATTTCAATTTTTCATTGAATGTTCTTAGCGAAATGATCCTTCCCAACTTTTTTTTTTTTTTTTTTTTTTGTTGTTGTTGCTGCTGTTGCTCACATACGCTGCACTTTAATAAATTGCTAGTCCTACCCATTTTAAGTATGCAAGTTGATCTGAGATCTTTAAAATGGTCTTTGTACTTATATACATGCAAAGTGAAATTGCTTTTTCATTATTTATATATATGTGTAAATCTAGTATGGTCCAGGGCTGCTAGGGAAGATTAGTTTATTTTTTAATTTCAGTGCACATATTTTTTTTAATACATGTGTTGTTGCATTTTGTATTCAATATGATTTAAAAAAATATTTTTATTTTAACTTAATTTTGTCAGGTTGGATTTGCGTAATCTCTATTACTTATAATAAGTCAAACCTCTTCCGAGTAAGCAATAGTTTACTTAATCTTTTTATGTATGTTCTGTTCTACCTTATTTTTATGTACCTACTGTTCTTTTTTAAATATGTATGATTTTTATGCATACCATTACAAATTTTAAACTTCTTTTAAGTTTATTATAATGTATTTAATAGTTTTAACACAGTTCTCTTAAGTATTAATATTTCCTAGTTTCAATTTGCAATAGTTTTGCATTTCTTTTTCCCAAGAGATAATTGTAAATAGAAAATTCATAATTAAATTTGCATTTTTAGTCTTAGCAGCAATCGTGCTAAATATTTCACTTTCAAAGTCCACTTAGGCCTTTAAGTTTCGATTATACATACCATATTTACTCATGTACTCTTCCTTCTTTTCTTATTAATTGTACTGCTTGAAAATTGGAGCTGCACTGCAGCAATATGAACATCCTATGATTTGAATTAATTTTGAGATGACCCAGTTTAGATTGATATGCTATAAATAGTTAATCTTTTTAGGACCAAAAAGGGAAGTACCCAAATTAAAATGAAGAATTAAACGGACTGTTGCTTATTAAAATTAGAAGTTTCCTTTATGTATTTTTATCTTACATATGAAGAGAAAGAAAAAAGTTATTGCATATCTGTGTGCAAGGCAAGGATTTTTGGAACGTTTTCTAAAGCTAAATTACAGGATTGATTTATATATGGATCTGCTAATATGACAAAAACATAGATACATTTCTGTTACATAAATATTAAATATGCCATGTTTTTATTTTTTAAGTTTAAAATTAATATTAAATGAAAAGAGTTATTTGTTTTATAAAATGAGATTTTGATTTTCAAACTTGTTTTGGAGAAAATGTCCTAGCTTCAGATAGGATTACCAGAGCTAAAACTATCTGGAGTTTCCCTTTACAGTGAATTATTACAGGAAAATATTCCACTTGTTTTACCAACTGCTTGGCAACATCTTGGCAATGACGGTGACATGTTTTAACGTTACAGGATTTTTCTTTTCATTTCACCTTATTTATGGGTTTTGGATTTCGCTTAAATTTTTGAAGAAACAACACACTTTCAGCTTATACATGGATCGTCTTATATTCAGAAATATGTGGTAGGTAGATAAACATAACTGATGGGTATAAAATGTTTGCATTTAAATCTGTATGGATTAAGGTAATTATAATTGTCTATACTGCTTTTAAAAAAAGGCAGAATAATCTAAAAAGAATATCTATAGTATGCCAAATGCTTCTTGCAAGCTAAAGTATAACAAATTAATTATTGCAGATGTTTTCCCACAGCAAATATGTTAAACCACACATTTTGTGAATGAACCATAAAATGTAAAATTAGTTATGCACCTGTAACCTCATAATTTCTGTCATTGTATGTTAATATTTTTAAACGTGCTGTAAAAGTATAGTGCAATCAAATTTCAATATTCTGCAAGTACTTGTAATGTATGTTCAGTTTTGAGTGTTAAATAAAATTTTGATTTTCAAAAACTTCAGACAGCATATCAGTTGGTAATTTTTTCTTGCATAAAAACAAGCTCTTTAACAACAACAACAAAAAAAAAAAAAAAAAAAAACTTCTGTTTACAATATATTTGGATTGAAGAAGCAAATTACTTAACATTTTCTGTACTCATGGCAGCATTCTGTTTATGTTATAAACATAGATTCTGCATCTTTGCAAATGTTTTTCTTTGAAAAAAATCCTTATTTTTGAATATATATTCTCTCTCTCTCTTTTTTTTAAATTTTAGTCCACTTTTGAATTTTACTGCTTAGTTTTAAAATTGTGTGACATGTACCATTGATTTATTTTCTCACAGTTTTTCAAACATTGCAGTCAAACTTTAATGCATTTTGTGTTATTAATCCAAAGAGATATACATAGAATATTAATGGCAGAGTTTGTAGAGAAATTGAATTTAAGAAAATCATTACTTTTGAGGTACTTTGGTAGGCAGTGCATTAAGTTTTCTCCATCTTTTTGAAATATTTTGAAAGCAATTTTGTTAATGTATATGTATTTGTTTTTACATAAAGTTCTTAGTTCAAAAATCTATTTACTGCACTGAATTTTAACTTTCAGCTGCTATTCGTCATAGATAATGTAATTTTTTTTATCTTGTATATTGTCATAACTTGAAAGAGATAATTTTAAAATGGAAAGCAAACTTTTTGCTCGTATATCAGTGATCTGATGTCCTTAAAATTTGGAAATTTTGCCATTTTCTGATTTTAAGGGAATGCTTTTATGTTATTAATATTTTATCTTGAAGTACAGACTTATGTTACCTAAAACAAAAGTATGTCACTAAGTATTTAGTGCTTTATTTCTAATAAATAAATAATTAATTTCTAATTTAAATAGTAGTTATTATTTTGTCTTACCTTATGTACGTCCATAGATAAAAACCAAATAATAGTTTCTTATAAATATTCAATTTCTACATTAAATCCTTCTTTCTTAATGAAAAAGTTTATTACAAAAAATATACAAATTTACCCCCCCCCAACTTTGCATATTCATTTATACAGGCTTGTAAGATATTTTGCTTTAAATATTTTGTTTTAGCAGTTTTGTTTATTGGTATTCTTTATACTGAATTCTTTACATTTTTTATGACAGGCTCAGAAGATCAATGTGAACCTCTGCCTATACCTTCAGTACTTATGGGTCATGACTCAGATTATATAACCCTTTCTCCATTTGCTTTACGATATTGGGTACGTGTAAATTGTTTTAGAGTTATATGTGCATTTACTTTTCTTTTAAAGGCATTTAATTTATTAATCTTCTTTTTAATAAAAAAATCTGAAGTTACATTATCATACATTAATATTTTTTTGGCATTTAAAAATTATATTGAATTTGTTACTTTTTCTGTTGAGTATTAATTTATTGTAAGCAGTTATAAGTAATTATGTTTTAGGTGCTAAAATCTATTTATTTAAAGATGCAAAGTAGCTATTTTGTATCAGTCTGTCACTTCAAATAAATTATATTTAACTTTGCTTTAATTGTTGTTTTTATTTAGCTAGTCTAGAATCAGTTACTGTATGTAAAATTAAATTTAAACAAATTTTTAGCTTGTCTCAGAGATGTCATGGTATATTAATTCATATTTAAAATTCAGTTTAATAGTGAATTATTAAATAACATTTTATGTGATATGAAATATGTTTTTGTAATGAATTTTGTTTTTGTTAAATATGAATGCTAATTAAAAATAGAATTTCTTTGGTAGAGAAGTGTAGAATTGGAATGAAGTTTTACACTTTTGTTTTGCAAGTGAAATTTTAATAACAATAACATTGAATTGCATTTTCCATTCTTACATTGATTATCAGTTGTTTTAAATGCAAAACTAAAAGAAGCAATGCTACTTCACTGTGTTGATATTAATATATATATATATTCACATTTTAGGATAAACTTCTTCTTGAGCCATATGCATTACCTAGAGATGTAGCTTATATTGTTGTTGCTCCTGAAAATGATGTTGTACTTTCACATATAAAAACGTTTTTCCGAGAATTGAGTAGCACATACGAATTACACAATTTGGGAAAACATTGTCCAATAACTAAAGTTTTACGGGATGGAATTATGAGAGTTGGCAAAACAGCTGCATCCAAAGTTGCTGATGAGCCTCTTAGTGAATGGTTTAATTCTATTGGAGACAGTCCCATAGCTAATAAATTAAAACTTTATGCTCGTGTTTGCAAGCATAGATTAGGTAAGTAATATTTATTGAAAATATGCTTGTTTTATATTTTGTATGTTAAAGTAATAAATTATAAAAATATATTTGGATGTATAAGTGTTAAAATATGTTTTATAATTAGTTAATCATAAAATTAAAAGTACAAATAAGAAAATGACTGGCTCTATGTAACAAGAACTTTTCGTTTTGAGATATTTTGACTGTTAATCAAAATATAATCAAGTATTTTGATTAAAATTACATGTATACATCAGTTTCTAAAAATTAAGGAACTGTAGGATTACTAATACAGCCAGCCAAAACTTGAAAAAAACATTTTATGATTCTAGATATTAAGTTGTATATCAGTAATAAGTTAATCAATCAATCATATCAATCAGTAATCTGAGATTAGAATTACACTTTTTTTACATACAGGTTTCTACATTTATCTTGAATGCTTTATTTATTTATTGTGATTTTTTGGAATACATCAGAAAAATTTCATTATTTGTTGTTAAGAATATAATTTTTTTGTTCTCATTCATATTTTTCCTATGTATGCATGATCTTGCAATTTTCAAAGTGGCAAATGCATCTCTAAAATGAAATTGTTGCAGAACTAGAATTTTTTTTTTTTTTTAAATCTTCATTACTGTTTTCCTATTTCTTTGTTTCTAAAATTTTGCTTACAATTAACAACAGTAAAAGCATCAAATAGTGCTGTTATATCTGTTCTTCAAAAATACCACAATTGTCATAAAAATTCAACTGGTCTTCACAAACAACACTAATCAGAAGTAGGGATATGGTTGTCAAATTTGTTTTAAAATCTTCATTTTATATTTAAAGAGGAAAGCGAAGTGCATAGCAATGGAACTCTGTCAGATTCTTTAATCTGTACACATTCGAATCCCAAAATATTGTGCGTTTAATATGAAGGGTAAATTAAGTTGAAGGTTCAGCCTCTCTTTACACCCCCAGAGTTTCTCTGGAATGTACAACAATGACTTCTAGCAGCTTTTTAAAATTGACTGCAAGGAAAATAGAAACTGTGTTATATTTTTTTTTAGCTTAATAGCTAATCTCTAAGAAAATGTAGTTCTGTTTTTCCAGTTGGGAGAATTAGGTGAAATTCAGAATGTGTTTAGTGCCATATAGCTGAAATTTTTCAGCATGATCTTCATTTGAAGTTTTTAAAAATTATATACAACATTGGAAAAAGTGTAACTGAGAAAATTATGAGCAATAATCTCTGCTGGTTGTATGTGTTTGTCATTGTTTGAATATATGTTATACATGATTACATAATGGCTAACACATTTATTACAAATGAACTTTGATGATAATTGAATTTGTATGGATATCATAATCTAGTATTTTATTCTGCCTATGCTAGGTCATGTAACCATAACTAGTATATATAGGAATTATCACATTTCTCTCTTTCGTTCTCATGTGGTGTCCTTTCTCTACAGTAGCACCTGAACTAAAGTGTAGTTTATGCTTATTCATCACCACCTGGATTTGGTTACCTGGGTCTTGTGCCTATTCTTCATCACTCTTTAAGCAGCAAAAAATGTAAAGAATTATTGCATTCATGACATAAGAGATGGCACCTCTAGCTAATACTGGAATATCTCTGGTTTGAATTCCAGTGAAAGCATAGCTGATTTTTTGGTATTTTTTGTTTCAAAAGAAATCTGTTTATGTTCTTATTCCTTTTCCTTCTGTTTTTCTTCATACATTTCTATAAAAGTTGCTGCCATGTGGCTACACAGAATACTGAATATATCTGAAATCCTTTAACAGCCTTTGGAATTGTTTCATCCTTGAGACAAAGAAGTTAGTTGCTCTCATTCTTCCTGTTGTTGGAGACAGTTTCCCTTAGAAAGTCCTCCACAAAGGCATCCGCCCCCTTAGGCAGATAGCCCTAGTGTGCTTTGCCATAATTAAATAAACCAAACCTTCATGTTGTTGCATTTTTATTGATGAGGAGGTTATTATAAGCTGCCCTTATAATTTATTCAACTTAAAAGTTCTGAGCAGAGCCATCTCATATTCGCTACTGCTTCGTATTTAGATGATTGTACAATGTACTTCTGTTTAAATATGTTATTACACAAAATGTTTTATTCATATCTGATTTTTATTTCCTTTTGGGAGTCTGTATATGTCTTTTAATTATTATTATTTTTTTAAAATTTCAGCGCCTCATCTGAGCACATTATCATTGGACAGGAGTATTTTTGAGTCTACAGCAAGTTCTAAATCTTCTGAAAGACCTAGTGGAAATTTATCATCTGTGCAATTAAGTGGAGATAATGAAATACCTGCCACTCCAAAACAATCTGAAAATGGTTTGTTGTTATTATTAACTACTTTTTGTTGTTGTTAACTATTTTTAACATATACATCTAGCTTTATATTAAAAGACTGAAATAAGTATACAATTTATTTTATACCGTTTCAAATATCTAATCTGAGTAAGCATTTTGAGAGTTGTTTATTTAGAAATCTAATAAAGTGTGCAAAGGGGGGGATTTCTAAACATTATGAATACACACTATATGTTTTCCTGTGTTTAGATAGGCATATAGCAACAAAGAAAACTGTAGGTGCGTATGCTTCACTTGCCAAATTGGCTGGAACAGCTCAGCAATTAAGAAAGAGTAAAATGTGTATATATATATATGTGATATACCAGCTTTTGTCCGGAATAAATAGATTGGTGAAGAATCATAGATGTAGTCAAAGCTCAAAAGTATCAGACGATAAGTTTAAAAAACAGGATCCATTTATTATTATTCAGGAGAAATAGCAGTTACAAAAATCAAATCTCTGGAGTAAATAAAAAGAACTACTAATAACTTTTTGTATGAAGTTTACTGCATCGTTACATTAAAGAAAAGACACCGATATTCCTTTGCGAGTCCTTTTATAGCCTCTGGAAAGGCAGAGCTTCCAAGAAATGACGTAAACCTCGTCAGCCATTCCAGTTCGCTTTAAATATCTCCAGAACATTCTATAACTGTACATGTAGAAAAGGCGGGAAAAACAACGTGCTGTGGATTTAATTCCACGTACTTTCAAATAAGAGACCGTAACCATTAAAAATTAAAAGAACATACAGTTAAAATTTTAAGTGTATTTTTGACTATGGAGTTTTATTATTACAAAATATTCCTCCTATCTGAAAAGGCTTGAAGCTGGGTGCCTTGACTACAAGACATTCCAGATAGTGAGAAAGTGTGACAACAGCTAATAAATTATTTTAAATAATTGCTTAATTTGTTTGAAGAATTCACATCCAGAATTCAAGTTGCAATAATATTAATCTTAAATAGACACTCTTACTATAACACAGTCAATAATAATATCAATGTATAAAATTGTAAATAATATACCTTAATATATTGACATTTATAGAAAATAAAGAAAAATAACATTATGCATGCAGTATTGGGAAAACATTTCTCGAGAACAGTTTCAGTTCTGGATTCAGGTCTTTAGATTTTGCTGCAAAACATTAGAGCAGTTCGTATTTTACAATCTTTCATTTCCAGTTCGCCGTAGCTTTAATATTAAAAATTTTTATTTGAGGTGAGGTATTCCTCTATTATTTTCTTCAACAATTGCAATACTTGACTAATTTCATAACATTTCCTTTTGACTTTTAGTTTGTTTACAGTATTTCATTTTGACTACTTATTCATATAAAACACTTATTTTGATAATAATTTTACTTGTATTTTACCTTTTACTATCGACAATGACATTTATTTCATATACTGCATTGTCGTTCAACACAACTTTCAACTTCGATAGTATTTTATAATTACCATTAATGTCGTTGCCAAAAAATTGACACATAAATACAAAATAAATACAAAGATACAAAACAACACACCAAAAATTTACAACACAAAATTAGACATTTAATAATTAGAGGTGCTCTAATTACCTTTAGTAGCAACCCCAGTTGAGTGTTTACCAAAAGGAAGGTGTGTCTACCTATTGGTGATTTAATTTAAAATTTTCTGGGTCTTGGTAGTGTCTGGAAACATGGACAATATCAGTAGGTTTCTTTGTGTGGTAATTCTTTTTATCAATTTCATAATTAACCTCGGATAATTGTTTGACTATTTGGTATGGTCCAGAATAGGAAGCTGTCAATTTACGTGTATTCGGAAATTCAAATTCATCAAATAAAACTAGATCACCAGGTTGAAATCTACATCTGCAAATTTTGTGTCATAACGACTTTTATTCCTTTTATGATATTCAATAGTTCTCTCTTTAGCTAATTTTCTCGCTATGTCAACCGGAGGGTAAGTATTTTGATCTAGGGGAGAATCGAAAGGAAGTTTTCCGAGTAAAAGATATGCAGGGGTGAATTTAGTTACCGAATGAGGGGAATTATTATATTCACTAATAACTTGATCCAAAATTTTCGTCCATGGAATTTTCGATGATGTAGAATTTACTTTACATCTTAAACGGGTTACTAGGGTTTGGTTCACACGCTCTACTTTACCATTTGTCTGGGGGTGATGGGCAGTAGTTAGAAGTTGTTTTACATTATAATTTCTAAGAAATTTTTTTGAATCTATTGCAGGTAAATGCGGCATTGCGGTCACTAAGGATTTTTTCAGGACTTGAATTTGGAAAAAATTTTTCAAAATATTAGCATAAGTTTCTGTATTTGCACTTTTAGATGAAAAAGCCCAGACATATCTTGTGACATGATCGATCACAAGATGTAAATATTTTTTGTAGAATTATAATAATTAAAACCGCCGACTGTATCAATAGAAAGACATTCAAAAGGTTTATCAGTTGGGGGTACTTCTTGCATAAGTCCAAATTTTTTGGTTTTTTTTCTTTTATTAATTTGACAAACATGGCAATGTTTCACGAAATTTCCAATATCTTTACTAATGTAGGGCCAATCATATTGTGGGGTGATTAAATTTAACATAGCATGAATACCTGGGTGTCCAAATTTTTCATGAGTTTCAGTTAATAATTTTAATCTTAAGGATTTTGGTACCACAATTTTATAACCTTTTTTCTTCTTAATTACCGTCAAATCATTTAGTTCTACATATTTTTTATCACACACATTGTCACTTTTTTGCTGTTGTATAATTTCATCACGATTAAGTAAATACACAGAATGTTGGAGCTGGTGAGAAACAGGTTGTCTAGAAAGCCTATCAGCTTCACTTCAACGTTTGTAGAGCCTTTTTGATATTTAACTTCGTAATCAAACATACTAAGTCGGAGTGACCAACGAAATAATCTGCATCTTAAATTCTTAACATTTTTAAGCCAAACAAGGGCTGCGTGATCGGTATGGATTGTAAATTTTTGACTGGGAAGCTTGTAATAAAATTTATCTAATGCATCAACAATAGCTAAACATTCAAGTTCTGTAATTGCATAATTTCTTTTGTAATCTTTTAAAGCTCTAGAATGGTAGGAAACTGGGTGTAATACATTACTTTCATCTGGCTGCTTCAAAACAGCTCCCACAGCAATCTGTGTGATGCATCAACAAAAACATGACAAGGTTTATTTGTATCATACAATTGTAACACTGGTTTTGAAATAAGAATATTTTTCAGTTCGTCAAAAGCAGTTTGATATTGATCATAGCAATGCCATTCATCTTTTTTCAATAATTTATTTAGAGGAGATCTTAATTTAGCATAATTAGGTATGAATCTATGATAAACATTTACACTACCTAACACTCTTTGTAGTTCTTTTACATTACTTGGATATTTCAAATTTTTAATACTTTCAATATTTTGGTTATCTGGGGTAACTTTACCCTTTCTAATTTCATAACCTAGAAAATTGATTTTATCTTTGGCAAAGACACATTTACTCTGGTTCAATTTAATACCTTCTTGAATAAATATTTCAAATAATTCACTCAAATGCTTTAGATGTTGTTCTTTGGAAGAAGAGTAAACAATTATGTCATCAAAATAACTACAAGCAAATTGGATTTTATTTTTAGTGAGGATGCGTTTAATAACTCTGTTAAAGATAGCCGGTGCATTTTTGAAGCCAAAAGGGAGTCTTAGCCATTCATACAGTCCAAAATTTGTAATAAAAGCCAATTTTTCGGTGTCATCAGGGTGAATAGGAATGTGCCAAAACCCTGATCTTAGATCTATTGTAGAAAAAAACATTTGCATTACTTAATTTGTTCTAATAAAAAGTCTATCCGGGGCAGGGAATGAGCATCAGTCTTTGCTAAAGCATTCTATTTACGATAATCAATACACATTCTGGTTTTTTTGCCTTCATCGCGTTTTAATACTAAAGTTACTGGGGATGCATAAGGACTACTACTTTCTTTAATAATTCCATTTTTTAATAATTGATCAATTTGTCGTCTAATTTCTTCTTCTTCCTTAGGGGAAGTTCGATAAGGTCTTAAAGTGACAGGCAAATCAGAAGTCAAGTTAATTCGTTGTGGTTCAATGTTAATTTTACCTACATCATATTTATTTTTGGAAAACACATTCTTATATTTATTTAACAATTTAATTAATTCAGGGTTTTCTTCCTCCATACTCTCTGAATCTGTTGTTATTTCACTACTTTGTTTTTTCACATCACTTTTTTGAATTTTTAGTTTTACATTACTTTCATTATTTACATTAACTCTTGTTACCTTAGACATCTTATCATCATTAAACTTCATAATATTAGACTTATTACCTTCATTAACTATTATACCTTTAGACACATTATTTTCATTAGATATATTATTTTCATCAACACTTATTACCTCAGAGATATTACTTCTAGGTTTTGTCTTAACTGATGGCATTACATTACTGTTTTTTCAAGTACTTGATCAAGTTGTACATGCAAAGAAACTCTGTTATTTACATTCACAGAATTTGAAATGTTTTCATTTCTTTGAGTTACCACTAAATTACTACAATCAATTTTTAATTCAAATAATTTACATTCATTTAAACCAAAACTAATCTAAATTAGTATCTAACTAACAAGTTAATTACACGAAGTGACAAAAAATCATGACAGCATATGCAAAATCAATGCAGTATATCGCTAGAAAGTATAATGGAAGTCTTGCGGGCTTTATTGTGTTCAAGTTATAAGTGAGAGCTTTGACGGATTAAGCACGGCGAGATTAACTGACTGAACGCGGAATGGCAGTTGGAGCTAGACGCATGGGTCATTCCATTTCGGATAGCGTAGGAATCACATTCCAAATCCACAGTGTCAAGAGTGTGCCGAGAGTATCTAATTTCAGGCATAACATCCCAGCATGGACAGCGCAGTGGCCGGCCACCTGCACTTAACGACT